GTGCAGTACTAAATGAGTTTAGAATACTTGACATATCAACGGAAGATAATGCATTTGTCCAAAGAAATTTTGTGAACTATCCAAATAAATCAGCAGTGCTAACTTCACTGTTTCCTTTATAAGGATTGCTTCCATCCTTCTCCTGAATGAAGGAAATGAACTCACTCAAGAGAGCCAAGGGATTAGATGTGAAGGTCTCAGTAGTTGAGGCAGTCTGTGAGCGAGAGACTTGACTTGCATTGCGACTAGACTTGGTTTGCTTGGCAAAGTTAGGTTTAAGATGTGGATACAAAACCCAAGTGTTTTTGGGATAATTATTCTGCCCACAATGGTTTCATTGCATCTCTCATTTCTTTCCTTTTAAGTTTTTTCCTTTGAACCTTCTATCACTTGCAACGAAGGCTTTGGACTCAGGGTTACTAACCTTAGTACTCATAACTTTTCTTCTTACTTCTTCTCACTGGATAATAGTGTATACAATATTGAGAGATTGAATTCAACATTCATCAATATATGGCTTTGCATGTCTTTATAGTTAGAGTCAAGACTGGACAGGAGCTGAAAGATCTTGTCTTCTTCAGCTCGCTTAAGGAAGACTGCTAGATCTGTGGTTTGAAGACGATAAAGATTCAACTCATTCGACATAGACTTCAGTCTTCCTAAGTGCTCAATAAAAGACTTTCCATCTTGATTTAGAACAAAAAGACTCTTTTGCAGCTGAAATATCCTGGTTGCATTGTTTTGATTTCCATACATCTCTTTGATAGCCTTCCATAAATCAAGGGTTGATTCTAAGAAGCTGAAGATTTCTGATACCATTGAGCCCAACAAGTTGAGCAACTAGGACATGACGAGCTGATCCTTGCACAACCACTTTTCATAATTGGGATCACAAACCTTGGAAGCTGCGACAGTTTCATTGATGAAACTAAGCTTAGATCTTCCTCTAAGAGCTAAAGTAACAATTCTTGATCAAGGAAGATAATTAAACTCAGTTAGAAGTACGGAGAAAAGGCATTGATTGGGATTTCCATTAGCTTCATTTGAGGAGGCTGATGATGGAACAAGGGTGTTCTCGGATGAAGCAGCAAAGATATTTTGTTCTTCCATTTCAAAAGATTTCAAAGAACATGTTCTTTAGAAAGCTTGCTGTGATACCATGTGATAATTTGGAAGATTTGTAAATTGATTGTGTGTAAGAAATTACAAGGACATGAAATATATACAAGAGAACATGTGTTGTGAGTCACATGGAAGACATCACACACCATGCTTAGATCCATGCTTTGCACAATTTAAGTCCTAGCTACTTTACATCATGACCCTAACTACTATAACCCATGTTAACCCATACTTAGATATTAGGTATTCTAACACGGTGATTGTGCTATTTTTGTGATCTTTAAAAGATATAATCATGTTTATGTCCTGAGAACATATAAACTCGTGGATAGAACATGGAGAGTTATCTATATAACTAACTGTATTCTTCTTGCTGATGATGTTCTTGAGGTGAAGGCAAAAGAGTTGGCCTACATGGATGAAACTTATTTTTGTACTTTTCATTCAAACTCATCGAACACCACTTTATTGGGAGTCTTTAATGTTGCACTTAAAGCTTGGCACGTGAAGAATTGCTCTGTCTTTGCAAATAAGATCAGGTGCATGCGTAGGGAATGCAGTTGGATTCACCACCACGATAACTCCCAATTATGTTACTATTTGGTTGAAGTTCCTTATAGTAAGGTCTATTTGGTTGCTCGGCTAGAATGTCATGATTGGCATGCTTTTGAATATATATGGTCAGACAATACATGGCGTGAGGTTGAGAGCTTCAAAAAAACATTTGAAAAGTTACTACTAGTAGTTGAATCATACAAAATTCTTCTGTGTGAGTCAAACTTGTTATAATTTAAGTAAATTCTTAACACAATGTTGATATTCTACGTAGTGATGGTCACAATGTCAAAACCCCACTCCATGTTACAATCACGTACAATGATTTTTTTGTGGGGTTTGGCTGCCAACTGATGCAAGGATATCCCAGTTGAGCTCCATGGACTAACTAGGGTAGAGAAATCCTTGTGGATTTAGAAATTCTTAATTATTCTATTGTTTTATCTAACATTTCGTATGCTCATCACAATTAAAGATTCTTTCATATTACCATTTTATCACGTCTATGACTTGGACAATGCCAAACTGCTTTTATTGCAGTTTGGTAAAAAGTTAAAGAAATAGTTGTGATGATGCACATGAAAACTATACCAAGCCTTTTAAGGGAAGGGATCCCCATTTTTCAAAAAAAAAAAGGAGACACCCTATTGACCATTAGATTTGACTTTAATGAAATTCTGTGGCTGAGATTAAATCATAGGCCACAGAATCTCAACCACAGGATTTCATTAAAGCCAAATCTAAAGGTTAAGAGGATGTCCCCGTTTTTTTTTGAAAAATGGGTATCCATTCCCTTAAAGGATTCCTATACATATGTGTGTGTGTGTGTGTGTGTGTGCATGTGTATCAAGCCCCATTAAAGAGAGGGATCTCCATTTTAGCTAAAAAAAAAATAGGGATGATGCACCAAGCGGTCCGATCTCTTTTAATGGGATGATACATAGATCTGAGTGAGTATATTATAAATATGTGCTTTTGAAATTTGATTGCTCTACATCTCTATATTTTGATTTGGTTTGGGGATTTCAGGTTCTACATTCCTTAAAAGAATTGTGCTTTACATATATACTTTTGATGTGATAAAAGCTCATTTATTTTTTCATGGTATTAATCAACTTCATTCAACATGGTATACTATTGACATTCGACATGGTATACTATTGACATGGTATTGTTCAACGTCATTCCAACTGATGATCTTCCTCAGTGATCTCTCGTAACCTTTCTGCATCGCCATTAATCTTAGACATTCAAATTCATAGGAAAGCTCAATGCAGCATTCTTCACAGAGTGCCAATTCGAAGTTTAATTTTCATCAAATATTATGCTTCTGGAAAGAATTATCTTCTGAGCTTCAAGATTGAATATTTTGTATCCCTTTTCAGCTTTTCCATATCCCACAAAAATACCCTTAACAGAGTTCTCATCTATTCTTTGTCTCAACTGAACTGGAAATGTGAGAGTAATAGATGCATCCAAACACCTTGAGGTGCTTGATTCCTGGTTTTCCAACTGCACAACCTTCACACATTCCTTATGTTTGCTTTAACTTTGGCATTAATCCTAGTACCATTTCTTTACCGACAAGCAACTGCAGACTTTGAAATTCAAATGTTCGAGCCTTCTATGCCAATCTTAAGCATTGTCTTCCACAACAGCTTTTAGCACATTGAGCTTCATATCTTCCATTATTAGGGGAAAACATCTATTCCTTGTCATTTGTACTGTAACAACAAGCATACTATCTTCAAAGATTGCAGCCTCATCATCTCCAAACAGAAGAAATATCCATGCTGCACCATTTGCCCAACACTTGGCAAATTTTCATCCAATCGTGGCACCAACATCATTTCTTTGATATATTTGGTTCCATTTTTGTTTCAACTGCAAAATGTACCCTTTCCAACTGCTTGAACAAGTTAACCATTTCCTATTTTGATTTAGTATGTTTTTGTCAACATTGCTGAGTAATAACTCATGAGAAGTCATGTGGTTGTTGCAACCACTGTCAATAAATGAGAAATGCTCATCCTTGATCACTGATGCTTAATTGCAGAAAAGAACATGGAAGTCTCTTCACCTACATCTTTAGTATAGTGCACTTGTTTTACCATTTTACATCTACAATACCTGGCAATGTGCCCAAGCTTATCAAACTTGTGACACTTAGGTTTTCTCTTGAACCAACACTCACCAAAATGAAGGTTTCCAAATATCTTGCACCTATCTTTGCTAGTATTACCCTTGACTACAATATTTCTCACAAATGGTTTCTTATCTTTGTTCTTCCAGGACTTCTTGCCTTTAAAACCACCAGATTAATTGTTGTTTCTTCCCTATAAACTCAGGCTACTAAAGGCTCTCTCAATGACATCATTGTCCTCTGAGTCCTTCATTAGTCTTTGTTCAAATTCTTTCAGAGTTGCAACAACTTCATTTGGTTCAATTTCACTTATCTTCTTATTAGTTCCCTCAATCACAACAACAATAATATCATACTGATTTTCATTTGATTTATCAATCCAAACACCTTAGTTAAGTGATCAGATAATGCTCCACCATATTTCATTCTAGCATGCTCAAAATCACGACAAATGCCTTGAAATTAAACAGCCATTACCTGAGGATCACCTTTGTGTTCTTGCTGCAATACATTCCAAGTAGCTTTTGTAGTTTCTTGATTTTCAATCCTTGGGAAGATCTCATCACTCAGAGCTCCTTGAATCAATCTCAAGCCCTACGTGCTAGACGATAATCGACCGCCCGATTTACTCCTAATCGGTCACGAAATCGAATAACAGATTAGGCAAACGCTGGGTGGAATTAGGAGGGATTAGGCAAAACTAGGCTGGGCTGGTTGTGGTTAGGAGGAGGCTAGGCGGGCGTACGTGAAGACGCCGTAATCTGGAAATTTTTCTGCTGCTGAAGAGTTGTGCTTGTGCGAGAAAGAAGATGGACTGACATAGTCACACCATCTTTTTTTTCATTTTATATGGACCACTTCTTTAATTCTTTTAAGATGGTCCCACCATCTTTATTTTAGGTTTTGCCCGGTTTCTTTTAAATGGTCTTGTTATCGTTTCTTTTATTCATTTTTATATTCCCTCGTATCTTTTTTTTCTTAACCCATCATATTATATATACTAAAACCAAGTTGGGTTCCGGCACTGTTCAGCAATAGTAAAAAGACGGAAATGCCCCTGATTTTTTGTTTGCTTAGTCGTTTTGCTGCAGCTTTGCACAGTTAAATATCTGTTATGCCCCTGATTGCCACGCGTTGATCATCCTTTGTCTGTGTGGTTTGATTCCGTCACAGAGAATGCACGACGTTTCCCTTCTAGCCCACGCGTCCATCATCGATGGCCCTTTCAGTTCGACTTCATCCCAATTTCGCTTCTCTCGCCATTCTCACCTTTTGGGTATTTTGGAACCTAGGTTTTTTTCTCTCCCGCATTGCCGTTTTACTTGCTGTTTAGCGTTGCCATCTTTCTCCAAATCGGCAGGCCGATAGAACCCGGCAAGGTCAGCATGTAGTTCTATGGAAGTACCGCCTGTGATCTCAGCCATCTCAGCCATGCTCGCGCCGCCGTCAATTTCGTTGTTTTGTTCAGGTTCGCACATTCAATCTCATTATTTGCATGTTTAATTTAATATTCATGCAATTAATTGTGCTTTCAATTAGTGTGGAAGTTGATATGTTTGATTTTGTGCATGTACTTTATTTTTTCTATTTTCTGTTAGAAATTAATTTACTTTTCCTTGGAAATCGTTGAGCTCCTAGAAGTTTTTGCCTTTTTTCTTAATTTGATCGAAATCCATTTCTTACCCACATAACCTAGAGTCTCCTGATGAGTTTTTCGTCGTTCTCAGTGTGTCTGATTTAATTTTTTTTTTTTTTTTTCGATTTATAGATGGATTTTGTGTTTAAATTTTCTTTTTATAATTTTGGGGGTTTTGTTTATGTGCTCGGATGCTGTGTGTGGCTGTCTGATTACGTTCTTTTTTTGCTTTCAGCAAACGCTGGTGTTCTTATTTTGGGGTTTTGCTGAGGGTATATAATTTGTTGAAATATTTAGTTTTAATACATTAACAATTTTGCTGGGTCAGTTTTTGTTACCGACCGTTTTTTTTTTTTTTTTTTTTTTAACTTTCGATCTCCTTTTATTTGAGTGGTATGCTGGTATACAATTTATTGTCCTAAATTCACAATCTTACACTTCACAAATTTCACTGCTCAACCTATACTCAGGTAATCAGTTCAAAGTTGGACTATTTTAACCCTTTCAGTTTTTAGACTCTATAATGTTAAATCCAGTGTTTTATTTTGATTCTACATTCATTTTGATTTTACTTTTGACTTTCAGTCTACGTTCATTTTGATTGAGTTGCTTTAAGGATTTTGTGGGAGGACTCCCTTTGGAATTGCCGAATGCTGTTATTTGTCGGGTGGATGCCTTGGACGTAGAGTTAATTCCTACTAAAAAGGTATAGAAGCTTAGCTAGACCTTGATTATCATGTAAGGAAATAAATAACTATGAAAGTAGCTTCACTATGGTCTGTAGTCATCTGCCACACCTTTGCATGACTCTTATATACCTTTGAAATTGAATTTGGGTTTTGATTATTTCAATTAGTTTCTCTGGTTTATATTTCAAGGTCAGCCGGTTTTGTATTTAGCATCAATCAATTGCTTTTTTCTTGGTGAGTACCTAAACGTTTACACTTTCAATTTAACAGAAAATGATAAATTGTAGCAAACCCATAAACTTATTTCGTGACTATCACAATATTCTTTCAATATTCTATGTTTTGCTTACAATTCTGTTCTCTCTAGGATGTTTAAGTGCATTTTTGGTTTTTAAGTTTCACCGCCAAATACCGACTGTGTGATTGTGTTTTCTAACCCCTATGTTCTCAATAATGTTAATGTTTTTTGATACCGTTTTTACATCTTTCAAACACAATGTTTAATACAATTTTCAAATCCGCAGTCATTTCGAACTCGGATTCAGCCAGCCTATGGTAAGCCTTTATTTTTCAATTGCTTTCATTTGTTTATATGTGAATCAATAACTTTTTGGCAAATAATGAATGTCGCAATTGCTGATAAATTGATTCTTTGTTTAAAAACTTGAACTGTAGATCTGTGCAAAATATCCATATATGGATCAGTGCCATGGACTCTTCTCAACCTATGGACCTCAAATCTCAGTGCGTCTTCCATCATTTCTCCAACCTCACTATATATGGAACTATTACATTTGCAATCATATTAATTCCTTGAACACAATATTTATATTTCTCTGTAACCTGCTAATTTTGGAATATATTATCGTTTCCTTACTGGTACATGAAAATGAAAATATAAAAATACAACCGGTTTAAGAAGCTAATCTCTTTTAATGTTCTTGGTTGCCTACAATAATTTTTAGTTATGTGAACTAGAAACCATGTGTGATTTAACTTGCAAAGTTTCTCTTATCACCCCTCTGGATAGTTTTGTGAACGAAAATAAGCATGTCTCTGTTTGTCTTTGAGTTTTCTCTAATTAAAAGTCGGAACAATGTCAAAACAAGTAGAAAATCCGTTTCTCTACAAAAGAGGCAGTTGTCACTGGTAATCTAGGGAAAATAATTCAGTCAAAGATGAAAATAAAATTATTAAAGTAAATAATAAACCTTATATAATTTGTTTCTAATCTTTGAATAATTATTGTTGTGTCATCCTGAGAGCACGATTGGTGCAGCTCAAATGGATCTATACCAGAGCATCTTGCGCAGTAGTATGGTGGCTCTGCAGCTCACAACACTCTGTTCTTATTTTATTTTTGGGTTAGAGCATGCATATATTATCAGTTGCTAGATGTCATGATCAATCCCTATATTATATGTGAAATAAAAAAAGAAGGAACACTCTATAACTCTAATCAGATGTCCACTGAAAAGAAAACAAATCACATTATAGACCAATACGTGTTAAAATTGTGTTGAAATAGAAAGATGAATAGAATGTTTCTGATAGAGATTACCCATGATAACAAAATGGTCAGACACTATTTAATGGTTGTCAAGGTTGGATCTTTGTCTTAGTGAATAACAGTACATCTTATATCAGGGAAAAACACTAAGATCTGATACACTATCAATTTCGTATGACAGGAGAAATAAAAGCTTTAGAACGCACTCCCTTTTTTTTTTTTTTTTTTTCATGTTTCAGTTTGTTTTTCAAATCAGTTGTCGATGCTATATGCTTTTTACTAACATATGTTTTTTGTTTTTAATAGTATACGAACATAAAAAAAAGCCTCCAAACCTCCAAAGACAGTAGCAAGATCTTTGTTGATGGTAAGCTATTATTCTCTGAGATCTGTTTCTTTTTGTTTATTTCACATGTGTGGCTATTTATTGAAATTTGATTTGTCAAGAACTGGAGATGGTCTCGATTTTAAGGTTAAAATTGAATCATCCATGATTTTAAAATAATGGTATTTTTATTAAACCTATAACAATGGACGTGTAGGTTATACATGCGGATTGTCACATTATTGTAGTTCTCAATTGATTTATGGTAGGTAGTCTTAACTCTTCGTCTATGTACCAATTTTTTTTATTTTAGTGCTCAGGTAGAAATTACAGAGGAGCTTATTTGTTGGAGATTTGAAGAGTAAAACTTAGCAGCGTGGTATCGCCGAAAGTGGTAATTGCTAATCAGGTTTCCACTCTTTTTTCCACACACTTTGGTTCAAAAGCAATATCATTTGAATGATGAAACATTAAGTTAGCATCTTAAGTGAACTGTATTTGCCACTTCTCTTTTAAATGAATTTTAAGATCAGCTCCAATCCATGTTTGTTTGACAATATTGTATCATTCATTATATAGTTTCACAAAGATCGTGCATAATTCTTGCTGAACTTGGTTTGGTTTTCTTTTGTTTAGGGATAGAGTGAGCGAATCATAGTTTGACCAAGTCTTGAATGATGAATTGAGCCAGATCATTGAGGTCTCTTTGTCAAGTTAAATTTTCATTCGACTTTTTATTTGTAATGCTCGGTTCTTCACTCAAACATTGCTTATGAAGTGAATGAATTTGCATAAGTTTGAATACATTTCCAATCCCGCAGCAACGTGCGGGCACCATTGCTAGTCTTTTCATATTTTTATCTAATTTTTGTATTGTCTTATTATTCTTTTTCTTTTCAAGACTTGCACTATGTTATATAATTATGTATTTAAACCTTTAACAATACACACACACACACTCACACACACACATTTAAATTCGTCTAGTCTGCCTAGGCCCCCTGGCCTAGTTCACCCAGACCGCGCCTAGGCGCTAGGCCCCAGTATACCGCCAAACTAGCGCTTAGTATCATTTAGAACCTTGATCATAAACAACCAGATCTTAAGCAACAAGCAGTTGCTTCTCATTCATTAACTTCTCATTTGAGGGAAGCACAAATCCTTCTTCAAAAAAATTTCCACTAAGTGTGGGATTTAAAGATTGCCTTCATCTTGATGCACCAAATCTCATAGTTGATGTCATTGAAGACTGAAGCTCAAAACTCAGCACCAGATCTAGCCATCTTGCAGCTCGATTCACTTGAGTTCTTTATTCAAAACTCAAAGAACCTTTCACAAATCCACGCCCTTTTATTCAACTTAAACCAAGCTCTAAAGCCATATTAGTGTTTGTAGTGATGTTTGGGTTAACTTGGTATAGTTTTTGTATGAATTTCACCAAGAAATTGAAAAGCTCAATGAGCTGGGATTTTGCAAAGAACATAGAGAACCAAAAATGGAGTACGTTGTTCCTTAGATTCACGTTGGATTCGATTACAAAATTCAAGGCATGAAAGCCGAACATTATAGCCGTTGCCCACACAAGCAACGTGACTATGGTCACGTGCAGGGCACACGAACAACTTAAACTCTAACAAACTGCACACTTGATAAGTTACATACCGGTTAGATGATATAATCTTGACCACTGATTACAAAATTTAACACCTTCAACACTCAAACAAAACCCTGCAGAATTGAACTTCATCTTCAGGCATCTCTGGGATATTCCAATTGAGCTCCTGCACTACCTAGGGTAAAGTAGCCTAGAATTCCTAATGCTTGTGGATTAAGAAATCCTTATTCTACTTCGGCATACTTAATTTTCCTATTAAGTTTAAGACTGCTGCATAAATCCTTTGCTTATTAAGTTTAAGACTAATTTTCCCCATCAAGAAGCGAACTTTTAGTGTTTTAAGATTATCAATGCGAATTTTAAATTGAGAATTTATTCGAGATGAGCTCTGTTAATCGAACAACTAGCAGAACTAATTAGATTTTGCACTAGGTTTCTTTTTCGACTTTCTCGGGTTTTCTTGGCATCCAAGCAAACTGAAGAAAAGAAAAAAGCTTGATACGGTGAGCAATTGGTGGCGTGTGGAGGAAACTGCGTGACTATTAAGAATTTGAGATTATGAAGGCTTATAATCTTTTTTGCATTCACAAAATGGCATGCAGAAAGCTAATATAAATCAAAATCGCTGATATTGTGTTGATCACTTGAGCTTTCACTTCTGCTTGAGATTTCGTGTTCGATTCCTCTATATTGACTTGAAGCATCATCTGCAGAAAAAAGTTCTAAAGGGCCTGCAAACAATTTTATATAATTGAGAGAATTTGGCAAAACAATTTATTGCTCCACTTAAGCTTCTAAGCCCAATTTTGCAAATTTATTAAGGGTAGTTTCTTTTATTTGTTTTGTTGTTCTTTGATTTAATTTGAGTATGCATATAGCCTGAACTTTTGAAAATGGTTGACAAAAAGGGTTTTTATAATAAATAGTATATATTGAAAAAGGGTAAAATGCTGTTTAACCCCTGAACTATTATTCTAATTGAAATTGACCACCTGAATTATTTTTTTGGTAAATTAACTCCCTAAAATATTTTAAATTGGCCAATCCACCATTCTGTCAAATTCAAGGGCAAATTAGTCATTCCGTTGTCAATTTTTACTTGTCAATGATAACTACCAATAAAATTATGACACATGAACACAAAATAATGTGTAAAACATATAGCATAATAAGAAAACATAAAAAAACCGAACGTTTACATAAATGACCATTTCACATTGTTATTACACATTATTTTGTGTCCATATGCCATAAATTTATTGGTGGTTATAGTTGACAAGTAAGAATTGATGATGAAAAGACTAATTTGCCATTGAATTTGACGAAATAGTGGATGAAATCTACCGACAAGGGGTTAATTGGCTAATTTCAATTAGTTCAAGAGGTTAATTTACCAAAAAAGTAGTTCAGGGGGTCAATTTTAATTGGGGTAATAGTTCAAAAGGTCAAATAGCAGTTTACTGTTGAAAAAAAAAGCACTAAATTAAAAAGAAAACTAATAAAAAGGGTTTTGAAATGTTAAATTTTAACCAAAATTCATGTAATAATTTTATTTAATGGTTAGAGTAAAACTCAATATCAAACCAGGCCAATAAAAATGGCCCAAGAAAAATAATTTATCCAGCTTTCAATTTTACCCCTAACATTAAGTCTTGGCCATTTATTTGGTCTGTTTGCTTCAGATGGAGAGAGGAAAGGTCTACAACCTCAGATTAATCTCTCTAAGTGTCTTGAACTTTCTCATTTCATCAGCCCATCATCTGATCTTCTTCACCGTCAAACTCTGAAAATAGCGATGGAAATCCTGATGGATGTGATAAAGAGGTGTAGGTCTCGCTTTGGAAAGAAGCAGAGATGTCGTACGAACGAGACGACACTTTTGTCGAATCTACTTCCCGTTGAAGAAATCTAGCAGAGTTGGATCATTGTCGCCGTACCTAAAGTGCAATCAGTGCAAACATTGCAAAATACATCTCCATCATCTGTTTCTCTCCGTCTCCTTGGATCATCGCTGTTGTACTTCACGGCGTCCCATGCCATCTGAATATCGTTTCCATTGCACCGTGACAATCCAAAAATGACAGGAACATAACCGTTCTTGTCGACTGCATTCCTAACCTCCCAGTCATATCCAAATATTAATTTAGTTTTCCATTTCCTATTTGATTATCTGTTTTATTTATGTTTTAGGATTTCTTTTTCCAACTTATTTAAAATCTAGCCTTTATTTTACATAGAAGGATTAGAAATAGCCGCATTGTTCAATTTTAGAAATAGTGACAGTGTACAGTTTTAGAAATAGCGGTATTGTATTTAGTTCTGGAAACGGTGGTAGTGTTCAGTTTCACAAATAATGGCAGTTTTCAGTTTCAGAAAAATTGGTATTGACAATGTTCAATTCTAGAAATAGTGTTAGTGTTCAGTTAGAGAATAGTATAGTATCAATATTCAGCTTAAAAAATAGTTAGTACCCATGTTTAGTTTAAGAAATAGTATAGTACCTATGTTCAGTTCTAAAATAGTAAATGTTCAGTTCTAGTAATAACCAATGTTCAGCTCTGGAAATAATCAGTTTTCAGTTCTAAAAGTATTCAGCGTTCAGTTCTAGAAATAATGGTATTCAGTTTTAGAAATAATAATAATGTTCAGTTCTAAAAAAAAAAAAGGTTCTAATAAGAATGAGAATGTACGTATAACTTGCATACATATTCATAAATATACAATAATAATAATAATAATAATAATAATAATAATAATAATAATAATGAAGCTAACATCTACGGGAGCACTCATATTAGTATGATTCAATGATTCATGAACCTGATCTCTGGAAACGGATCCGCCGGATTCTTTTCCTAAGAATTCCGGAGATCCTATGATCGTGACCGTTTATTGTACATCGTGCGGTTAGAAATCATTTAAAATTTAAAATTTAAAATTAAATATAAATAGTATCTAATGAAAACTAACTGTATGATATACGATAAACTATTACGATCATGGAATCTCTTGAATTCCTAGGAAATCCTTCTCTCTGTCTCATCAGCAATGCCCTTTGTCCAATATCTACCCATTGTCTTACCAGCAATTTTATTTTATATGTTTTCTATTTATTCACGTGGTCAGTCTATGGCCTTCGATGTGATCTCAATAGACAAATAATGGCGTCTTCAATTCTTTTATTTGGAAACAAATTCGATGAAGGGGGGAATTCATTATTCAAAGTACATGCACATTGTGCCAAATGTGCCACTTGCTAAACAGGCTAGTAACAGCAAAGCTAGCATGCAGCAGGGATAAGAAAAAAATTGAAGGTAGATGTTGACAGAGAGAACGAAAAAACTAATTGCTATTTTTTATACTAAAGAAAAATAATTGATTTAGCCTTACAATAAGTTAGTAATAATGTGATTCAAATTTATCTTTGTGATAATTGAACCTAAAACTTCTCACTTACAAATAAAGAGTAATGCCAATAAAGTGTAGTATTAAGTGGTGGTAGGATCTTATTTTTATAACAAGTTTTTCTGATGAAATTGGAATGACAGAATGGGGCTGCAATCAGGGGCATTGGCTAGAAAGAAAAGAAAAAAACATAGTTTTGCACGTGGCTTTGTTTCCTTTTCATGAGGCTTTAGTTTTTGTCCTTATTATATTGTAGTTTGTTCTTTTCATTAAATTTCAAGCCGTTTATGTTCAATAAAGTTATTAGATAATTCTTTGTTAAGCAAGCCTTTTTCATTAAAATTCTTTAAATTAAAAACTAA